CTTTGATTGGAATGCGCTTTCAACAGATTTTTCAGCATGTCTAGCCAATCTTCTCTCATGAGCTTTCAATGATCCCATCAACTCTTGAACACTCATTGAAGAAATATCTTTTGTCTCCTCAATTATGGATACCATTGGATCAAATTTTGGAGGCAAACTAACAAGAATTTTTTCAACAATTCTGCTATCACTAATTTCTTCACCAAAGGTTTTCATTTCATTTACAATTTTGGTGATTTTTGTGTAGTAATTTTGAATACTTTCATCATCACCCATCTTCAAATTTTCAAGATCTCTTCTAAGAGTTTGAAGAGTAACATTCTTTACCTTAAGATTTCCTTGAAACTCCTTTTGTAGAATCTCCCATGCTTCCTTGGCATGATCAGCTCCCATGATTCTTGAAAAAATATCTGAACTCACACCTTGCTGGATGTGTGAAAGAGCCTTTGCATCCTTCTTCCTATGCTCTTTAAGTGCCTTTAATTCTTGATTGGTGAGACCTTCTTCACTTTCTGGTTCTCTATAGCCATTCTCAACATATTCCCACAAATCTTGTGATCTAAAAATTGTTCTCATTTTTACGAACCAATGATCATAGTGCTCACCGGAGAATATGGGAATTGGAAGACCATCACTAGTATGATTGGCCATCTTGTAATTAGAAATCTCTCAAAAAATTTTCTGGTTTTGGGGTATGAACTAAGGCAATGAAACCTTAGCTCTGATACCAATCTGTTGGATATTAGGCCAAGAATTGAGAGGAATATTTGGAGACAAGGGTGGCTTCAATTGTTCTTTTTCTTTTATTTCTTTCACACACTTATATTGGTTTGGAGTTTACAAGGTCTATTTATGATCATTCTAGATACATAGAGAAATGTTCCAACCATCCCACCAACTCTCTTAATTTCCATCATTCTAGAGAATATTGCAACTATCTAGAAAACTTTCCAACTACCCCATTAATCAAGCTAATTGATTTAGCACATTATTCAACAATTTCACTATGTGTCTGTGATTTATGTGTGATAGAATGATAACTTAATTCATAAACTGTGAAACTTGACACTGATCAATTTTGTTTGATTTCGTCAAATCAACAATAGTGTTATCTCATAGCATTCGTTTGTAGACAGTACCAAGCCCTCCTTGGCCTACAATACGACTTTCATTGAAATTGTCTGTTGCCTTTCCCAGCTCGTGTGACAAAAGCTTTGTTTTTGATACAGTTCCTTGACTTGAAGATAGCTGCTGTTGTAGCAGTCAATGCGTTAAAAGACAAGGCATTGGGCAGGGCATTCTGTATCCCCCAAAGTGAGCGAAAGCCCCAAGGTGTGGGGTGTAAACTCCACAAAATTTTTTTTATTTTTAAATATATTTAAAATATAAAAATTCAAAATTATTATTATTATTATTATATATGTATGTGTGTATATATGTACAATATTAAAAATACCAAAAGAAGGATTAGATAAAAAAAATTATAACCTTATGTCTGCATAAGAAAAGTAAAACTTGTTTGTGTGACTAAAGTAAAACCTGCTTGTGTGACTAATATCATGCCATAAGTAGAAGCCCAACAAACCACTATAGACTTTGATGATTGTTTGCATAAAAGACTTGATGCCATCCCACAAACTAATGATCATAGTTGTGAAAACTCTTTTCCAAGGCACTAACAAATGATATTTATGAGTTTTGACTATCAAAGCAAGTATATTTCCCCTATTTCTTTAAAATATTCTCAATGTGAGGCACATAGTTTGAAGTTTCACCTCCTTTGCATCGTTAAATTCCAAACTAACATCCATATTCGCCAATTTAAATTTGTAGGCTAATATAAGAAAAGTTTTCAGAAATTGCAAGTTCAGCTTGAGGGTCTCAACTTCCTAAAGCAAAAATGAAAATCCAGTTTAGATGTTCTTTTGGAGCACAAAACAAAGGAAAAACCGCTGGAATTTTAAACGCATATGTTTTTTATGCCTCAAAGAAAAAACTCGCCTGAACACCGTATGCCCTGTGACTCTAATGCCCCTGTTGATGGCCCAGGGGCAATTTAGGAGCACCTCGCCCTGGAGCTCGCCCCGAGACTTGCCCCAAATATGCCTTTTAAAACACTGGAAGCAGCAACCCACCATTTCTCTTGAAGAACCTCTTTTTAGCTTTGTCTTCTTCCATTATTTTAAGATTGTGGTGCAGCCAAATGCAGGCTATTTCTAATATCAGAAATCCAGCTGCAAATCCGATGCCTGTCAAATTAAGGGCCTGTTTGGAACCTAAGTTTTTTGAGAGTTTGTCTAAAACTTTATTGTAGTGCACTATAGAAGTTTTTGAAAAAATTTTGTAGAAGTTTTTGTAAGACGAAAAACTTTTTTTTCCTTTTCTTTTTTTTCTCTTTCTTTTTCTTTTTCTTTTTCTTTCTTTCCTTTTTGTCTTCTTCTTCTGCTTCTTCTTTCCCGTTACCTCCGTCACCCCCAGCAGCAACTCCACCAATGCCACCTCCCGCTACCCCTCTCCTTCCTTTCCCCTTCTCCTCCCCTCCCCCCGCCACCCCCTCTGCGCCTTATCCCTCTACCCCGCCAGCACCTCTGCCCCGCCTTTCCCCTCTGCCCCGCCACCCCCCTTCTCCCCTATTCCCCTTCCCGCTTCTCACCATCTTTCTTTTCTTTCTTTTTTTTTTCACAGAGAGGTGGGGGAGGAAATGGGGGAGACATAGAGAGAAAAAAAAAGACAAGAGGGGAGGATGGAAGGGGAGGAAGAGGGGGAGAGGGAAAAAAGGGGAAAAAAAGAAGACTGGCACCGGCACCGGAAATCGGCGACGGAGGTGGTGGTGGGGGAGGAAGAAGAAAAAAAGGGGAAGGAAATTTTTTTTTTTTTTGATATTTTAAATGTGTAGATAAAAGACTTTGGAAAGTTTTTTGGGGTTCCTGTAGCAAAAGTTGTTAAAAACTAGTAGTTAAAAAACTTGGTAAAAAATTAGGGTACCAAACAGGCCCTAAGTTTATCTCTGATCAGAAGAAGTCTCAAAGAATAGTAACCGCTAAGGAGTGGAGTTCATGATTTTAATGTGTGCCTAAAGAAATGAACGTAAACAATTTTTACTTCGCCCTATCTGGTGGGCATGCAAGTGGTGTGGATGGATTAAAGTTTTTCTCCCCGAGGTAACCGGGTGGGCAGATGCAGTAGTAGTTGAACAGTTCCCTAATCTATTTATATTTGTTAAACAGTCCCCTAATCAATTCTGGCGTAAAAAATCAGTTTTAACCTCCGGTTGAGAAATTTGAGAGGAAGGGTAGAGGAAGAATGGACTGGGTGACGCGGATGAGAGAGTGTACGTGAGAGGTCTCAAGTTCAAAACCTCTCACTCACACTTTATAAAAAAAAAAAAAAAAGGAAAAATTGAGTTTTGTCAATAAATTGGCTTCCGCGATTTCTTTTCTTAAGTAAGCTCCTTAGACTATGGCAGAAAATCAGCCTTGACCAGATTTCATTTTCGGACTGTGTTTAGTTTGTTTAAAAAACAATACTTCTAAGATCAATTGTGTCCATATTCATTCTTGTTTCGAAACATAAAAAGGTTTATTTCCGAAATTTTCACCAACAAACATTTTCTTTATTTATAGCAGCTATGTCTTCTTTACAAGCTCAATTCATGTCGTTTTTGAGCAAGTATTTTGGCTGACTGTGAGTAAAAACTTTTGACTTTTGCTAAAACTTCTTTGAGTTTTTCCCTCAAAATTGTGAAGGAAAAACTCGGGTTCTGTCTTTTCAATTTTGTGCGCAATTGAAGCAAATTAGTCAAGTTGCAACACAATAGGCTAGCCTCCATTGTTGTGAGAGAAAATGTAAGTCCTCCATGCACAGCATCTTAAGAAAAAAGGCTTTGAGTAGGGTAAGATTGCAACGATAAAGATAGTTGATCTTAGTAAAGTGGTTTGTACTTTAATCATTATAAAGACGAGGTTGTAAAAGAATGATTCAAACTTTTGACGCCATAAAGAACTAAGGCTCAAATCATATCTATTGATCCTATTTCAAAATTTAAAGAAGAGAAAAGACCTTTGATATTAGAGATAAACTTTCACAGCTGAACCACTCCGAATATCACTTGAGATTCTCGGTAACATGTTTTCTATGCCAATCCAATGCCACCTATAGTATTGCGTCAAGTGTCCTATTATTATTTACACTTGTGTTAAACCAAACCAAGTTGAATTATTTGAAAATTAAAGTGTAAATAATAACAGGACACTTGGCACAATACTATAGGTGGTATTGGATTGACATAGAAAATATGTCACCGAGAATCCCAAGTGCTCCGAATATATACTGTCCTTTGTTTGTGGGCTACTTATTTCCCCTAGAATCTAAGTTTAGTTTTATAATTACTTTCATTGTGCAAACTCTCATGATTTTTATCCAATTTACTTGACATATATGGCCAGAGCTAGTAATTTGTTGTTAGGCACAACCTGGTTGTTTGAGATTGAATTTTGTTACTTTGCTAAAAATTCCAATAAGTTTGAGAACTTATAGGTTTTGCTAAGACTATTTTTTTTGTAATTTTTCTTTCTCTCTCTCTTTTTATAAAAGATATAGGTCTAGTTATTCCTTGCTAAAGTACTTCTATTACTTTTCAAAAGTTTAGGAGCAAAAGGATAATTTGCGCAAAAACCTTTTTGCTAAAAAATTTCTTTTTCTTAGTTCTTCTTTAGTTTCCTTGAAATTTCCCAAACAAATGTATCATCTAGCACTCAAGTTCTCTGAAATCTCGTTTAGCCCACTATAATAATCTTCATTAATGAAGTGATCGATAATAGTGTCCTTGCAAATGAAGTGTCCAATTAGCGTTCCATTAACTTCTTCTCTTTTGACTTAGCAAATTTAGTGGGTCAATCGATATGGAAAATACCGTAGGTGGGCGAAATGAAAAACTTCTCATTTTTTTAATCTCTGATAAAACATAACTGTGAAGACTCACAGTAAATAAGATACAAATACAAAGTATGTACTCCAAATTAGTATAGAAAACTTCATTGTCTTTTTTTTTGTGGGAAGAAACACTTAACAGGTTTTTTTTTCTTTTTTTTTTTCTATTTGTCAGACAGAACATAAAGCTAAGCCAAAAAAAAAAAAAAACATCCATGAGAATCAGAAACAAAGAAAACTTCCATGAAAAAAAAGAAAACTTCCATGAGTGCATCTAAAACTACTCTAGGCTATCTTCAGTAATGGAATCAACATTGCAGCAATAAGATCTTTCACTCAGGGAGCAAAAACCATCCTGTAAACTTTCTCTTGCAATTGACCCTTCTTTTCTCCTCAATTGTTCAAGTGCTGTAGCTATTTCCCTCATGCTTGGCCTTTTCCTCGCATTGAGTTTTAGGCATCTTTTGGTAAGCGTAGCAACAGCAAGAATTTCCTCTTCTAGTCCTTCATCCGCAGCCATTTTATCCACAGTTTCAAATAATCGATTCTCCTTTACTGCTTGTCTAAACCGAATAACCAGACCTTCATCAGATTTATCTGAAGAAACAGCCTTCTGCCCAGTTAAAAGTTCGGCAAGAACTACGCCAAAGGCGTAAACATCACTTTTATCGTTGAGTTGCCCTGACCGGAAGTACTCAGGGTCCAAGTAACCAAACGTGCCTCCGACTAGCGTAGTTAAGTGTGTTTTATCAATAGGCACTGACCTCGAAAGCCCGAAATCTGAGACCACTGCCTTATAGTTCTCATCCAACAATATGTTGCTTGACTTTATATCCCTGTGGAAAATGGCTGTGGAAGCATACGAGTGCAAATAAGCAAGTGCTTCTGCAACTTCCGTTGCAATACGCAGACGATTCTCCCAATTGATCATTCCGGCGCCAGGGTCATCATGAAGGTGCTGTGAAAGGGTGCCATTTGACACATATTCATAAACAAGCAACGGAACTTCAGTTTCCAAACAACAACCTAATAATTTCAGTATGTGTCTGTGATTTATCTGTGAGAGAATGACAACTTCATTGATAAACTGTGACACTCTACACTGATCAATTTTGTTTGATTTCTTCACGGCGACAATAGTACCATCTGATAGCATTCCTTTGTAGACAGTACCAAGTCCTCCTTGGCCTAGAATACGACTTTCATTGAAATTGTCTGTTGCCTTTTCCAGCTCTTGTGTGACAAAAAGTTTTGTCTCTGATACACTTCCCTGACTTGAAGATGGTTGCTGTTGTAGCAGCAATCCACCGTTTCTCTTGAAGAACCTCTTTTTGGCTTTCTCTTCTTCTATTCTCTTATGTTTACGGTGCAGCCAAATGAAGATTGATACCAAGATTAGAAAGCCAGCTGCCGGTCCAATCCCTGTCAAAAAAAAAGTGTATCTTTGGGATGAAGTCTTAATGAGAAGCTCTACCAAGGAGAGGACTTAATGATGTTGAAATGTACCTAAAGAAATGAATATAAGCATTGCTCTATCTGGCAGGCATGCATGTGGTGATGATGGACCAAAATTTCTCCCTTTGTGGTAACCTGGTGGACAGGTACAGTAGTAGCTGCCTGGAGTATTAACGCAGCGAGCCTCTTTGGGGCACTTATTCTTTTCAGGAGATTCACACTCATTGATATCTTCAATCAAGATTGAACACCACCCAAAAAAAAGAAAAGAAAAGATTATATATAGTCTCTTATTTATTCCTTAATCATAGGCAGATTACACACTCATTGATATCTTCAATCAAGTTTAGACAGCAACAAAATTTAAAAAAAAAAATGAAATAAGCAAAACTTTTCACACACACACACACACACACACACATATATATATATATATTGTAAAATGGGATAAGGCTCCTGCAAAGTTTACTCTTCTTTTTCAAAATATTTTGTATTGTTATAAAAGCACAGCTTAATTGTTTGATCTCAACAGGCAAACCCATCCCTTATGAGTGGCTTTTCAACCGATCCGGCCGCAAATGCGTGCAGAATTTCATGGGGTCTTTGCAAACGTCTAGGAAAAATTTTGTTGAGAGGAGCGTCAGTTTCCCATTTGGCTATCCTCATTTGCTCAGCATAATGCTAATTTGTTGGTTGAAACTAATAATTTGGTTCGTAAGATGGATCGGTTATATGTTAACATTTTTGGGGGCCAAACAAAAGCAAGGTAATGTGCATCATAAGTCACCAAATTTTTTTCAAATTCGATTTGACCCACTATACTATTTTGCGTGTTAGTCAGCCTACCGAATTCCTGAGATGTGCTAGTTTGACCATTCCATCTAATAGATCTATTAAGCGAGATGGAATTTTCAGCTCGTAACGAAACATGATATCTACAAGAAATGTTTGCCATTTCACCTAGTCAACTGATAAATAGTAACTCAAAGGATTAGTGGGTACGTAGGGAATACCAAAGAGTTCAAGACAATTCTTTCTAAGAAACTTGGTGAAATAGACCTGTAACTTCGGGCAATGGTAGGGCTGATTTCGAGTAGCCCACAAGCAGCTCGATCAACTGATTAATTCGAGTTCGAGCCCTAGCTCAAGCTACTCAACTGGGAAGCAAGTAGAGTTTCAAGCCTAGATATATGTTACTAGAGTTTGACAGGCTACTCATCGAGTATTTATTAATTTAAATAATATATATTTGTAAATACAAAATTACTACTAAGGGTTTATGTTTTCAGATAATTTGCCAGCTGATTTGCATACTTGATAAAATTCTTTAATGGCAAAAAGGTAATAGAATTTGAAGTAGACACACTTCAATTTCATTCTCCAGGTTTCGAGTTTAAAGGCCCAAAAATGGGGTCTGATCAAGCTTTTATACTTGACTGCAGCATCGAGTGATATGGCTCGATTTTGACTCGAGCCATATCAAGTCAAGTTCAAGTTTTTTTACCGCTTTAGCGAGTCAAGTTCGATCCTCTGCTCTCAAGATCGAGCTTGAGTCGAGTAAAATGTCAATAGTGTTCAAGTCAAACTCGAGTATAGCACTATACTTGACTTCGATTCGAGTTGTATACACGCCTAGGAAAGGGGTATCTCAACAAGAAGTTGGGAAGTCAGCAGCCGAAGCCCCAGTGGACGATGGCCCTACCTACAGCGGCTCCAAGGCAACAAAATTCCTTATTAAGTAAACTCCAATATGGTCACATCCAAGTGATTATCTTCTTTTTTATTTTCTTTTTTTTTCAACCATCTAAATTTCCATCCATTACTACATTAAGATCACCACTTCAACATTATAAAACAAACTTCTAACATGTTAGGACAGATTTATAATGTTGATTCATGTTAGGCAGTGGCGGATTTACACCGGGGGCACTGGGGCCCCTTAAATTTATAAGATACCTATAAAAATTTGATGTAATTTCAACTGTACTTCCTGTAATTTTGTATATCTATTGGTTTATAGGGCCCCACTGCCCCCTTAAATTTCTATAATACCTATAAAAATTTGATATAATTTCAAGTACGCCCTCTGGAGTTTTGTGTATCTATTAGTTTATATGCTTTTAAAGTTGTCTTTGATTTTATCTGTTATTACAGATACCGTAGAAAGGTTTTTTCAATAATGAATATAGTGAAGAATCGGTTACAAAATAGAATAAAAGACACTTGGATGAATAATTGTTTAGTTACTTATATTGAGAAAAATATATTTCGTAAAGTTCAAAATAAAAAAATTGTAAACCGTTATCAAAATATGAAAACTCATCATGAGCAATTGTAAATAGTTTAGTTTGCTTTTGAAATACAATTATTATTACATTAATAATTTTGAGTTTGCCTTTTGATATTTTTCATGAAATATATGCATCATTTGTACTTGTTGATGAATATTTTTTTTCCTTAAAAAACTAAAAAAAGAGTAGGTAAAAAATTTTAAAGTTGTTTTTGCCCCCACTAAAAATTTTTTCTGGCTCCGCCACTAATGTTAGGACAGATGACTTCTAACATAGTGATTCATGTTAGGACAGATGACAACGTAATTCGAAAATTGCAGTCAAGTCTTTCAATTTTCTCTTGTTTTGTATTTCTAACCCAACTTTCCATAGTTTTTCAATTTAGCGCCATGTAGTCTAATGCCACGATGTATGCGGTATCTCCTGAATTGCAGCATATCCCCTTTGACTTTACCGATTTATTAGAATGAATAGTCATAATGGAGCATTCTCAGAGTTCAGTGTGTTATTTGACACGAAAAGAACTAAAGTAGTAGATCAGATGAGATTTTGAAAATTTTGGTGACTTATTTTGCTCTTTACCAAAGAAAAAAAAAGAAGAAGAAATCAAATGGTCTCGAAAAGTGAAGTTAAACGTGAAAAGTATTCAATTGCACAAGGCAATAAAAAATTGTTACATGCTTTTATACTGCAAATTAGATGTAAATAAAGTGCACTAACCTGTTATCATTATCATAAGCTATTCATTAGAAAAATCCTACCTTAGATGTAAACTTAATACTTGCAAAATGCAGTTATAATTGTGTTATACCTTGGCATCCATCGTGGAGATAAGGATTCCCTTGATAACCTGTGAGGCACCTGCATGAATATCCCACCCCTCTACTTGAATTTATGCACTCGCCGTTTTGCCCACATATACAAGTACCCTTTTTGATAGCTTCATGGCAGCTAATGTTTCCAATTCCCCAATCCAAAGCTAGAGGAGCACGATGAGAATCGACGGCACAGTCTGAAAAGTTAAACTTGTTGAAGCCAGAAAAATCCTTATGTACAACCATAGCGAAGCCACATTGATCAGATTCCCATGATCTTTCCCAGGTATTCATAGTCTGCACGTAAAACTCCATATCTCTGAGATCCTTTGGGATAGTGTCCCGGCAGCAACGTTTTCCTGAGCAATACGAAGAAGAAGCCATCGGACTAGTCGATGAATTTTTGCACAAGGATGGACAGCCGCTGACAATATCACTAGTCCTCAAGTCAGTGATATAAGCATATATATCACATCCTATAGCTACAAATTGGTTTTCAGTGTGCGAAACACTGAAATCATCCGTCAGATCATCACTGGATATGAAGAAACCTACTGAATATTCACTTTCACCGGATGACTTATTATAGACGAAGGGAATAACAAGGTGACCATGAACAATAACATGGTGTTGTGCAATCTCATAGACCTTGTCGTCAGAAATCGTAGGAAAGCTACCAGAATACGATGAAGTGTTGCATTTAACTTCAAATGATCTGCTTAGATAACAGCCTTTTCCGATGCCAAACGGGTAAGGAACTGTCAAATTACCACATTTGTCAGGGCAATTAGGCTTTGCTACAGAAGCTGCAGCATCATGTAGCAGGGAAAATGTTGAGATTATGGATATCAGATGAATCCCAGAGGTGATTTTCTCATGCATATCTTGTTGCCAAAATTTTTTCATGAATGTATGATTTGTGGAGTGCATGCATGATTGGAGATAGGATATGAGAAGCCATTATTTAAAGTAGTTGCCTGAGTCTTGCTTATGGGAAAATGGGACATAGAAAAGTGCTTTATTGTGAACATCATCTTTATTTTGGCAAAGTTGATGTCAAAGGTGACACCAGACACAACACAAAAGATTAAAAAGAATGGGGTCGAGGAAAAGAATGATAGGCGCATTCAATCGATCATCGAAAGGTTGTAATGGGGTCGAGGAATAATTATTGGTGAGGGCTAATACAATAATATGTTTATTGTTTGTAGAGTAAGTTAGTACAAACCACCTTGTGATTTCATCTACTATCACATGACTCTTTTAAAGTTTCAAAAATATTCACATAATTCTTTTCTAATGTTATATAAGTAGAAGTTTAAGGGAAAGTAGTCTCTATAATACCATTAGTTAAAACATCAGTATTTTCTTTACTTAATTACTAAAGTTAATGAGATGTACCTACGGTCAATTCAATCTATAATTAAGGGTAGTGGCATCAATAAGGGCAAATACAATAAAAAGAAGGATTCTTTATATTTTTAAAAGCATGATTGAACAACATAACAAGTAGAAATAATACATCTATTTCATGCATAGTATAATGTAAAGATATATATTGAAAGTCAGTAAAAAAAAAAATAGTCGTTTTCTTTCAAAAAGATATGATTTTCTCTTATATTAAAAAATGTCTCCTCCGCCTTATTAAAAGAAGTCACCTTCATATGATTCTTAGCTCTGCAACACAAGGCATATTAACAAAAATAAGAAATGCAGTTTTCACTATTCTGACTCTATGCTATATTTGTCCTTAATGTTTTAAAAAAATGGTTCCTAAAATTTTTAATTTTAGCAAATTTAGGATAATTCAAGAAAAATCACAATAGCTAATATTCAAAATCTATTTGCCATCAATCAAAAGTTTGACTTTACATTTTTTGTCCTTAATACTTGGACGTGGTACCTTAAGTTTTGAATAGTTATTGTTGAGGTTTTAATATTAAATAAATTGTGGTTGAAGTAAATCATGACAAATTTATTCTTAAATCCCTATGAAAATCCTTAAAAATAATTCACCATGACACAACACAATCCTTTAGCCTAAAGATAATCTCTAACTTAAATTAGTTACAATTGAATACCAATACATAAATAATATGTAAAATAAAGTTTAACTTCCTTGTTTCACTAAAAGAAATATGTTAAATAAAGCTTTTGTGGAAGAAGAAAAGAATTCTCATTTTAATATGACTTTATTCTAATTACTATCACACAAAATCTTGAATAACTTATGGATGTAGGTTTCAAATGGTTATAGTTAACAATTGCAATTAAAATGATTAGTGAAAGTAATTACTAAAATGAAGTGCTTTTACAAATTTTTTAAAATATTTCCTTTTTTTCTTGTTTTGCCTTCTTATTAAAATACATTACAATAATGAAGTTTCAAATTCCTTATTGAATGTTCATATACAATAGTGATATTATTGAATAAATCAAATAATTTTACAATATATATATTACAATATAATTTTACGATATATATATATACACATACTTGAAACTTAAATGATAACCAAGTGGTAAGCTAAAAAAATCATTAGATAATCAACTTTATTTATATTTAGTACATATTACTTATTTTTTAAAGGGCTATTTAATTAATGAGATTTTATAATCATGAATATATGTAAAAAAAATAGAATTCATCATCAAGAATTATTCATATTGTAAAAACAATAAATACATATATTATGCTAAATTTGAGACCAACTATGTTAATAGAAGAAATATATGAGAAATTAGTGGTGCGAATAAGTAAAACAAAAAAAGACGAAGAAATAACTTTTTCACTTTTTTATTCTTATAATTCCTAAAACCCTAAAATTGTAATTATTAGATTTAATCATCATCTCATTTCACCCAAAAACCCTCCCTCATTATCACTATTTAAAACTTAAGAGACTACAATAATTCAAACCTATAATTACAGACAAAAAGTGCAAAATTAAAACTATTGACTAATAGTTATTTGATTTTGACCATTAGACATAGTTGAATTTTCGTCAATTGTCCCAAATCTACCAAAAATTTAAAATTTTTGGAAACCACATTTATTTGGATCAAACATTAAGGACTAGTTTGATACATAAGCTAAACATTAGGGACTACAACTGCATTTCACCCTTAAGAAAATGTAGATTTATTTTATTGAAAAAAATCCATACAACTCATTTAATTAATGAGTCATAATATATAACAAATTCTATGGGAAATAAATGACTAATGTAAAAGTCTTTTAAGTCTTGGCTTTTTTGGTACTCTATTCACTTCTGTGTTCTCAACAACTTAATAGGGGCAAAGCTAAAAATTTTGCAAAATTATGTGGATACTAGTGCAATTTTCTGTGGACAGGCAGGCGCCCGCAGTGGATGACAAGGATCTCGTTACATTGCAATCACTTTAACCTAAAGATCTAATAATGGTCATTGATGTGTCCCTGAAATTGCTTCACCAATCCAAGTTGCCAATAGATTTTTCAAATGCTTGAAATGAAAACAGTTAACATTTAAATCTCATTTACAATTATCAAATACTAGTGTGCTATGCAACAAAAAATTGTCATCACAAGTTATCAAGAGGTATTTTTGTTTTCTTTGTTTTTGCTATTATTATTATTGTTATTGTTGTTGTTGTTGTTGTTATTATTATTATTATTATTATTTGGCATTGTTTGAGATTGATTGATAGAAAGCGGACGTCACCTCTTTTGTTATGTCATTTTGCTTATTGATCCACACACACACACACCAACAAATTAAGTTATGATGAGTTAATCCTACAAATAACTCATAGCCTACCAAAAGAGTAATTTAAAAAAATATGTTTAACGTGTTTAGAAAGGTGTAAGAGAAATATCGAGATTATCTTTGTTCTTATTGCAGAATAGAGTAAATCATCTGCGACTACTATAAAAGGGAAAAAATGTTATTAGATAAATCAACAAGGTTAAGTTCTCAGAAACTAGAGGTTTTGAATTCAAAACTTAGTAAATTTGAGTTTTTCAACTGAAATTTTGGTATTCATTCCACCATATGTAGGTTATCAGTAAAAATCAAGTCAACGAACAAGTCAGGACAGACCTCTCAGTTGCGGCTCCTCTCTTTGTCACCTTTCTGCGCTATCTTTTGTTGACTGTGCTATTTTCTCCCTCCAAATAATAACCTAGGTTACCAATATAAAGGCAAAATTTTTTTGCATCAACTTGAGAAGTCCAAAACTTTTGTTCGAGATAAGTTTTTGGACGAAGTACTCTCACGCTTAGATATCAACTTTATGAATAATTCGATCGTGCTTTGCACCTTCAATTCTAACTTTCAACTACACTACACCCTAAACTTCTAGGATCAGAGGCCACATAAGTTTCAGTTTACATTAGTTTGTCCCTGAAGTGTAAATAAGTAGAAGCATGGTGTAAATAAAATTATAAACTGACCATTTGGTCTCAATTGATTTGAACTAGAACTTGTAAAACCCGTGATCTAAACTATTAAATCCATCCAATTTTGGTCCAATCATTAAAAGTATTAAGACAATTAATGAACTTTATGTGTGCCTCTACCACACCTCAGTGGAATGGATGAAAAATTGTTGTGGGAAACTTTTCACTTTATGCCTCAACACTTGGACATATTTCACCTCTTAGTTTTGCTTTTATCTGTTGTCATAAAAATTTTGGATCTACAAATTGTGGATGGCAACGGAGGCGGGGGGGGGGGGAGAATTTTTTCCCCCTGTTGAGAAACGGGGCGGGGGGCGGGGGAGTGCCCCCGCCCCCCCACCCGTTTGAAATATATATATGTACATAATTATATATATAATGATATTATCAATTATACTACTAATTATATATGTCTATTAATAAAAATTATTAATTATTTATACTAAATTTATTAATACATTTATGTTAAATTCCTAACTACACTTAATACAATAACGCTTTTTTCTACAAAAAAAAAACACAATAATAATTTAGTGATTGTATTTGTATCAAAAGTGAAAACTTGATTATTTTAGTTATATTTGTTTTATCATATTAGATTGTATTCAAATAACCTTTGTTTAATTATTTTTATGAGTTTCAATTGTGAAGTTACAATGAATAATAATTTGGTGATGTGTTGATATTTTAGTATTTGATTATTTACTCAAATTTAATTATAATAAAATTTTTTTAGCCCCACGGATGCCCCTGTGGAGGAAGCGGGACGGGGCGGGGAAGCCAGGGACAGGGGACGAAGCGGGGGTGGGGGTTGGGGAAGGTGTTCCCTGCCCCACCCCTGCCCCATTGCAACCCCTATCTACAATAGGCATTGATTGTATAAAATGGGTTAAATTAAGAAAAAAGTTTTAAATTTTGGTCTAACTATAAAATTTAATCAATTTAATTTCAATTTTTTGTATATACATTAAACAACTGGAGAAATATATTATGGATGGTTTTGATTTTCAAAAATAATATTGTAATTACAGTTATTTAGGTGTAACGGAGAGAAAATCCTTTCCAATTAATGGAGAGGAGCCACTATTGGCACAACATATTCAATTAAACCTTGGCTGCTTTATCCAGTACAAAAATTTTTAGTGATGAACCATTGAGCTATTTTTGCTAACTTTGAATCAATCTGTCCGGCAATAATATGAGTTGTTACCGCATCCAATGTATGGAGACTTAGAACCTATGTAATATTTTTGAGTTTATATTTCTTATACTATTAGTGTAAAAAAAATTATATGAAAGGATCTTGACGCATGGCACATGTACAAAAAGAGAATTTAGTGCCTGTTTGATAACATAAAAAAGTGCTGAAACTAAATTCATTCAGACATTCAGATATTGTGGGTGTTTGATAAATAAAAATTCACTTGCTGAACTTATTAAGTGGTGCTGAATTTGTATGTATTTTTTTCAGCACAAGAATCGTA